GTGGCCTATACAATGACTTGCGGGGGCCAGCCGATGTACAAGTCAGTGTTTTTATCCTCCCAGACAAGTCTGGTACCAATTAACCGACCCCGGAGGGATGGAAGGCTTGGTTGGCCCGGGCGACTCACGACCCAGGATTTGATCCCCGGACCGCTCGCGTGGTAAGCGCGCCACTTGCCACTACACCACTTCCGCCCATAAAAGATAAATACAAATGAAAAGGAAATGAAATGCTCATCTAATTCTGATTTTGAGTGACCTCTATATTCTTGCGCATATCGTTATTATCGGCCCTTATCAGCCGTTATCACTTTCTTCCCCACCAATATGTTCCCGTCCTACCCTCTACATCACTTCTTGGAACCAACGCCTCACTGATGCTGGGACGCGCGCTATGGATATCGTGAAATTGGCGTTTTGGCGCCTCTTATCGGATCTTATCAGTCGTTATCACTTTGGTCCCCCACCAAATATGTTCCCGTCCCACCCCCTACAACATACTCAAAATACAGCGCTCCACTGTTGCAGCGAAGCGCGCTATGAATTTCGTGACAAACAGACGTACACACACACATACACACATACACACGCACAGACATACTTAGCGAATTATATATGGTAGGATCGAAACTAAAACTGCAAAATGAACCAGCCAATGAAGTTGTGAGCACGCAAACTGCTGGGCGATTCACATGCTCATGGTTTTTCAGTATTTTCGAAAATGTTAACCCGCATCAAATAGCAACAACCCTTTGGTAAATTTCACATAGACATTTTAATAATCAACATCACATACCAATAATCATTTTGTGAGTATTTGCAGAACTCAACTACGTACTGGATCGCAACACATGTATTGCTCACATGATGGCCACAGAACTGGCTGACCAATGCCCTGACATTGGGAGCACTCCCATGGAGAAGAACATTCCGCACACTCGTGCATCATTCAAGATTCAGGTTCTCCTTAGTATTACCTTACTCCTTAGAACCCTAAGATCACAAAATGTATTTTTTAGGATGTGATACCAAAGTCACACTTGGCCTCCTTCAAACTCACTGAGAAAGAGATGAGATTGATCAAGCCGGAAGACATTGAAGAAAGCGAAAGGCTCCTAGCAGAGAAGAAGGGAAGTCGAAATCGCCTTGGACAAATCGTCGCCAAAGCACTGGACGAAGCGAAGAGGTTTCTGTTCAGACTAGTGCCTTTTAAGCATGTTTCTGACTGAAAAATAGAAAACAGTCCAGACTTAAAAATGCCTTAAAAGACAATTCCAAGGAGTAAAAGGCATGAGCCGTGACCAAAGCAGTATGCTATTTTGTTTGAAAAATGATCAAGAAGTGCGCTTCGGAACATTAGTGGGGAGAGAAGCAAGTGCGCTCTAGAAAATTTCCATTGTGAGGCCGACCGTATATGACGGAGAGACATGGCGCTGCGAATAGAGGGAGAACGCCAGAGTTATTCTGCGCGAAAAGGTGCAAGCACCCCGTAGCCGCTAGTGATAGCGATAAGGCAACACAAAATTCATGGCCTCAGGCCGTTGCCACGCACTTTTGAGTCACGAAAGTGTTGCGCCTGCGCTTGGAGACCCCTCTTCCTTACTATAAGGGGGACTTGGAACCTAATCCCGACTCGTGGCTTTAACCTTATCAAGCAATACCCGACTGAATTTGTTAGGAGACGTGGAACCATTTTTGAAGGACGTCAAATCGGACAGCAGGGCTCAGCATCAAAATAGACTGTGAGACAATGCCCTCCACCGCTAACGAATCCAATCGTTTTGAGCAATCCGACTGGAAACAGCTTTCTCTGGGATCCTACCTTGGACAGCATTTGGCTCAATGTTTTACTCTTATGTCTATAAAAATAGCGGAGAGGGAACTTCACAACATTTTCGCTAATGTGAGCTTGATTCTAAAGTCAAATGTTTCAAACATTCGTTTCAGAAACGCAAAAAGGAATGG